CAAATTACCATAATAAAAACAGGCAGCAGACTTGGTAAAAATTAATATTTGTATCATTCCTGTCACGTTCGCTGGGGAGGCGATCCGGGAAGCAGGGATACGGAGCCAGGAGGTAGGGCAAACGGGGTTTATTAGGGCAGGATCCACGATACGGGGAAGAACGAAGGGTAACATTAATGACAAGTCTGGGGAAGACTGACTCAGACGAGGACTAAATACAACAGACAAGCTACGGGTAACAAGCCACAGGTGAGAACAATCAGGGAGAAACAGGAGGTAATGAGGTGGGCGTGGAACACATTAGGAGCCGACGGAGCGGGGCGTGACAATTCCCAAAACTTTTGGCCATGACACTATTGACCCCCTGCCCCCACCATCAACTACATCTGTTCCTGAGACAACAGCACTACACATTTTTTCAAATACATTTAATCAATTTAATGGATTTATGTTCTTATGCTGTATACATAGAAATTATGTCAAATTATGTTGTATGATTAATATTAATGGCAAGAAAGTGAATCAACAAACTTTATTCCACTAAACAAGAATGACAGGAATATATAAAATAATTACTAATATAATCAGTGTACTGTAACATTTTAAAACGGTTTATAATTTGTGGTTTGTTTGCTGGAAACTGAATGTACCTCCATGTGCCAACTGAAAATGATAGCTACTCTTCATGAGCAGCTCTACTGCCAATGACTAGCTAGTTTCATCTGATGAGCTGTATGGCATCTTGGTACGGAAACTGCAGTACGTCTGACAGGAAGACTCTGCAATGTGCAGTGCGGATGGCTGAGAGGGTTATCGAGGTCTCTCTCCGCTCCACTGAGAACATTTTTAAGAGCAGATGTAAGATGAAAGCCCTCTGCACTGTGAGATTCTTCACATGCCTCTCATGGACTGTTTGATCTCTTGCTCACTGTTTGATCACTCCAAAAAATCAAGATCAGAAACAATGTGCAATAGCTTCTTTCAACAAGCAATAAGATTGTTAAACTCTTGGTAATATGTGCATAATAAAGCCAGTTTTATATACTGTACATAGTTCATCTATCTTTAACTGTAGTAATTGATATTATATACAGTATTTTATACTATTCTAGACTATTTTTAACATTTTGGTACCACTATACAATAAGGCTCCCTTTTGCCACTTGTAAATGGTAGCAACTCATTAATAAAAAGAAAACTGTGTTATAAATTGTTTAAAAATGTCTATTAATAATTCACATTTAAGTGTTATGTAGGATCACACATGCACATATCACAGGGCCTAAATTCCAGGTGGCCTGAGACAAGGCCGAACCTGGTACGAGAGGCACCAAAGGGGAGTCACACACATAAACACACACACACAGATAACAAGGGAGGCCAGCACTCCAACTTTTATTGGCCAAAGATTTAGGGACCTACAGACAAGCAGAGTGGACCTCAAGGACAGGGGTCCCTCGACTTGGCACACAACCCCCTCCCCAGACATCCTGCCTTGCATACCACTCACCCCAACAGACCAACACCCTAAGGAAAGTTTCATTTAAGTTTGGCTTTTGTATACCCTGTATATTGATTTACTCATGACTACAAGTCTAAATATACAGATGGGTTATGTTTGGATGTGTCCTTAGATAATCTTAGTGTTTTGTGCGCCCCCCTTATAACCATGTTCATGGAGTATCACCTATTTTACCCCTTTACACTTGAACACTTATATAAATTTGAATAAATAAATAGGTATAGCTACCACTGCAAATATATTTCCATGGTTATACCAGAAGAATCTGGAAATTAGTGTAACCAGTGCGTCCTAACTTTTAGAGTCTTCTTTCTATGTTTAACAACCCCCCCCCTTTTCTTCCTCCACATTCCTTGGTGGTCCTTATCTGATCTTGGTACCATAGCAAGCTTTCTTTGTTCTACCATGCTATATTAAGAAGAACTCAATTAAGGTGTACATTATCCATTTTGGAGAAGATCAATTAGAATAAGCCACACCCACTAAGATATGTTGTGCCCAGATGTGCAACTTATCTTGATATTACCAAAAACTAATGGCCACGCCTATCTATGGATAAGATGTGCTGTTTGTAATATGAATATTTGATGTAATATCCACACAAAGTGTAACATCTGTTGAGGTGCAACCCAAGGCACCTGTATCCTATACTGAGGTGAATCAGTCACATAGATAAAATAATTAATTGTTTAATCAATTAAT